GATGGTGGTTTTAGAATCTACAGAGTCTTAGAATCCTTTCCAGAAAATCCTATATTTTCTAATTAACAGCGGTCTTCTACCAAGACCCAATTGTTTTATGATTAAGGAGTAATTTCCCCAAAAGGCACTATCATTATCAAAATATAGTTTTTATTTTAAAGGAGTTGTGAGAAAAGCCACAAGTAAATATAATAGGGAAAAATAATATTTTACCTCAGCAGAAACACTGCTGGCTAAAAGTAAATAAAACCTAGACTCCAGGCGGGACGCCTCGCAAGGCTTAAAGGTAAATAAATCATAGACTTCAGACGGGAAGCCTTGCAAAGTCTAAAAAGGTAAATAAATCATAGACTTCAAACGGGACGCCTTGCAAAGTCTAAAAAGGTAAATAAATACATAGACTCCAGGAGAGTATCGAATGGACAATACGCCTGGCTCAGTCTAAAACAAGGAAATACAGACTCCAGACGGTATCAAATGAACGATACGGCTAGCAAAGTCTAAAAACAAGGAAATACAGACTCCAGACAGTATCGAATGAATGATACGGCTAGCAAAGTCTAAAACAAGGAAATACAGACTCCAGACGGTATCGAATGAACGATACGGCTTGCAAAGTCTAAAACAAGGGAATGGATAATAAAAGGGTTGAATGTAAACTCGTATGTAACCATGCTGATTGACGATCGAATCCTTGATGACCCTCTAGGTCACGCGAAGTATGGTGACATTATGTCACCCATGGGCCTTATCGGCTCGGACTGTAGCTAGCAGTCAGGGTGTGGGAGTGTCTGTCCCACATAGATCTATACACATGATGCCCGCTCTCCCTCCAGGAGACTCTAGTTACACGATGATAGCGCTAGGAGCGTCGTATCGGGAAATAGTACGTCACATTCTATTTAAAGTATTACCATAATAGTATAGACTCGTGAATGAACTGACTCATGTGTAATACTTCATACTAGAGAGGGAGTAAATAGAATCTCCTAACTATTCCTATAATAGTTACTAATGTTTTAGGTATATGAATAATGGACGGATGCCTTTGCTACCCAAAGGAAATGAACTGGCTGAGAGAACCTTTATGACTATACAAGTATACATGATATATAGCTAATATTTAAACGACCTTCGGACGGATAACCGATACCCTAGAACCACATCCAAACAAGGAAAGGAGGTAGGGCGGGCTAGCCTTCCTAAGTCCTTTAAACATTACTTATATAACTATACATATACAGGCATGCATTTACAATATAAAAGCTTAAAAGAAGTTTTGGTAAAACCTTTGGAAAACTTATCAATAAGAAGTTATGACTTGATGTCAGTTTATAAAACAAACATTGAAAACCTTTGGAAAATCTTTGATAATCTAAAAAAAGATATTCATACTTTAAACGAGATTTGAAAATAGGATTTGAAAACCTTTAGCTGGATAAAGCAGTTTAACATGCAAAAATCTATTTGCTATACAGTTATTAATCACATGTGATTGATATAATAACTCGATAGTTCAACTTGTATTCCCCCCCACCCATAAAAGCAATTAAAATCATTTAAAAAGGTTGATTCAGGGGTATGAACTCACCTGACGTGGGTGATTCAGATGATCGGACGGTATAGGATGCTAAGTGTCAAGTGAGGACTTGACCATACACGCGAATCCTATTTATCATGTAATGATACATTTAAGTATCTAATTAGTCATTTAATAACTAATTAAGCAAGTAAGGATGTCCTAATACATGAAAACACTTTGCCACAAGTGCTAGGAGTACCATGGGTTGCATATAAAGACAGTATGGACTCACATTGGAGTTTACTCCTCAAATGGTGGCCCTTAGGGGTGTTTACGGTTTGAGGACCACTTCCCCCATGATTTTACGGCCGTAAACTCATGGAAGTGGTGTCATTGGGTGTTTGAAGGTCTTATATCACTCAAGGAGTTATGCTAGACTCGAATCAAGGGCTTAGGAAGTGATTGGGGCTCAAAATGGACACTTTTTGGAGTTTACGGTCCTTGGACCACTCCCTTGGAGTTTACGGCCGTAAACACATGAGTTTACGGTCGTAAACTCATGTTTGTCCATTTCTTTCATGCTTTGGTGTTTCTAGGTTATGCATGCAAGGTTCTAGTCACTTATACAAGCATTGGAAGGTGTTAAGGGCACTTAAACACCCTTGGAAGGTGTTTACGGTTTTGGGAGGTCTCCCCAAACCGTAAACTCATGTTTCTTGGTGTTCTTCAAGGCTTTGACATGTATTCTAAGCAATCAACTAGCTAGGAGAAGTATACTTACATATATGAAGCTCGAATGGGTGTTTGGAGCCCAAGAACACTAGTGTGTGTTCTTGGTGTTTTTGATGAACACTTGAAGATCTAAGCAAAAATCGAAAATCCATGGATGAAGTGATGTAAAAACACTAGATTAAGTGTTATATGAACAAATCTAGGCAAGAAACACTTACGTTTTGGCGGATTTGACGGAAAGATTTTATGCTAGTTGAGAGAGAATCTTGAGTGTTCTTGAGGTTGGAAGTGAAAAATGAATTAAAAATGACTAAGTGTCATATTTATACCCTCGGGGTTTTGCGGTCGTAAACTCCGCGTTTACGTCCGTAAACTCCAAACTTTTGGAGTTTTGCGACTTACGTTAAACACGGCAAACTCTAAATTATACTTCCTTATTTTTGGTTCGCTTGACGAATATCAAATAAAATATTCGTACGGGCTTAAATCCGGCCAAAAATGTTTTGGGATGAATTTGGCTAATTTTTGAAGTGCTTGATTTCGGAGTTTATACAACCAAAATTTTCGGGTTGTCACAGTATTCATCAACTAAGATTGGGGATCGTAGCGGAAATCCTCTGAGCTGTAACCGTTAATCCCGTGTGAGCGAGGAAGTCATGTATAATTAGTATACGGGTTCACCATCCTACTTGTGACTATTAGCTACAGTCAACCAAAATCGAGTGATGAACTATCCTTTTACTTGTTATTGTTCCGGCGTCGATGAAGCGTACGGTATTGTTTCTCATGGTAAATCATGAGTGTGTTGTTTCTCATGGTAAATCATGAGTGTGTTTTATCAGAGGTATTATGTCATAGCAGCGGTTACAGACTCATGGTAGCAAATTGTTAGAAACATTATACTTTGTCGTATACAAGTATTAACATTAAGTATAAGTTTCCCCTACTTATACCTTAGGTTTAAAGAATATTTAGGTATAACACTTAATTGATAAGTAAACTATTATACCTAATATACATACTAAATGTTGGAGAGTCAAAATGATACTTTCAAAACTATACTCTTGAATGTGGAAAATGTACTATTTTATGGAGTCAAAACCTGTGGACTCACCAACTATATGTTGACGTATTTTAAAATGCATGTGTTTTCAGGAACTTGAAAAGCTGGTATGTATTCAAACAGAAGAAGTTTTACTATTACCTTTCTATTCATTAAGAAGTATGCCATAGTCGGATATTATGTAATAGATCCTAGAAAAATAGTTATCTAACTTTCAGTTATCAATAAAGGTATGTATTTTCTTTAGTACTGTTCAATGTATGTTATATAACTGTGATACGAAGAATGACGTTACACCACCCGGTGTTTCCGCCGTTGGCTGGGGGTGTGACACAAAACCCCAATAACACCTGTGTCTAATGAAGATCCAGATTTTGAAACCCTATCTATCCACTGCTATTGCCACCCCCTCTCTTGCCCTTCTTCTACCTTCTGTTATGACGAGAAACCCTGACAGTATCCACAACCCTAACCGTCACCACCCGCAAAGAGGTGAAGACAAGGACAATGCTAAGTCATCAATTTCTGATTCATCTCTCTCCTTCATTCCTCAGTCAATATCGACATTTATATAGTAAGTTTCTCCAATCTCTTTTCTATTTGACCTAATTCACATATTGAGACCGGTAGCACAAAGACAAAGAAAATTTTAATTTAGCGTCATTAAAAATGATGCATTTATATATCTTTAATATATTATTAAACATATTGCCTCTTTCTTGTAATTTAAGAGGTATACTTATTACAACATAATGTACAATCTTATTAATCTTACAATCATATTAAGCTTAATATGACAGGGTACTGCTATCTCTACATGTTGGAAACACTAAACCCTAGCCTCCTCCACACAACATCTGACGCCATCAAACCCACCCCCTTTACCGTATCCGTTCTAACTCGCTTCAGTTTTCGGTGTACATCCGGTATCACCATCTTCACTCACTCAAATTCTATTCCTCCTAACCTGGATGATTCCTTCTAACCTGCATGATCGACGCCCTACAACTCTACTTTTCTTTACCTATATTTCTCTTCTCAAAACCCTAATCATACCTGTGTCTAATGAAGATCCAGCTTTTGAAACCCTATCTATCCACTGCCATTGCCACCCCCTCTCTTGCCCCTATTCTACCTTTTGTTATGATGAGAAACCTTAGAGTCTCCACAACCCTAACCATCACCACCAGCGAAGAGGTGAGGACATGGAGAATGCTAAGCCATCAATTTCTGATTTTTCTCTCTCCTTTATTCCTCAGTCGTTATCGACATTTACATGGTAAGTTTTTCCAATCTTTTTTCTATTTGACCTAATTCTCACATATTGAGATCGGTAACACAAAGACAATGAAGATTGCAATTTAGCGTCATTAAAATGATGCATTTATATATCTTTACTATATTATTAAACATATTGCCTCTTTCTTGAAATTTAAGAGGTATGCTTATTACAACATAATGTACAATCTTATTAAGGTTACAATGAAAGAGTGCCTCTATCTCTACATGTTGGAAACACTAAACCCTAGCCTCCTCGACACACACAACACCTGACACCATCAAACCCACCCCCTTTACCGCCTCTCTTCCAACTCGCTTCAGTTTTCGGTGTACATCCGGTATCACCATCGTCGCTCACTCAAATTCTCTTCCTCATAACCTTGATGATTCCTTCTAACCCGGATGATCGACGCCCTGCAACTCTACTTTTCTTTACCTCTATTTCTCTTCTCAAAACCCCAATCATACATGTGTCTAATAAAGATCCAGCTTTTGAAACCCTATCTATCCAATGCCATTGCCACCCCCTCTCTTACCCCTCTTCTACCTTCTGTAATGATGAGAAACCCCAACAGTCTCCACAACCCTAACCATCACCAGCAGCGAATAGGTGAGGACAAGGAGAATGCTAAGCCATCAATTTCTGATTCTTCTTTCTCCTTCATTCCTCAGTCGTTATCGATATTTACCTGGTAAGTTTTTCCAATCTTTTTTCTATTTGACCTAATTCTCACATATTGAGACCGGTAACACAAAGAAAATGAAGATTGTTATTTAGCGTCATTAAAAATGATGCATTTATATATCTTTACTATATTATTAAACATATTGCCTCTTTCTTTAAATTTAAGAGGTATACTTATTACAACATAATGTACAATCTTATTAAGCTTAGAATGAAAGAGTACCTCTATGGTTACATGTTGGAAACACTAAACCCTAGCCTCCTCGAAACAACATCTGACACCGTCAAACCCACCCCCTATATCGCCTTTCTTCTAACTCACTTCATTTTTCGGTGTACCTTCGGTATCTCCATCCTCGCTCACTCAAATGATCTTCCTCCTAACCTGGATGATTCCTTTTAACCTGGATGATCGAAGCCCTGCAACTCTACTTTTCTTTACCTTTGTTTCTCTTCTTAAAACCCTAATCACACCTATGTCTAATAAAGATCCAGCTTTTGAAACCCTATTTAGCCACTTCCATTACCACCCCCTCTCTTGCCCCTCTTCTACCTTCTGTTATGACGTGAAACCCTAACAATCTCCACAACCCTAAGTGTCGCCACCAACAAAGAGGTGAGGACAAGGACAATGCTAAACCATCAATTTTTGATTCATCTCTCTCCTTTATTCCTTAGTCGTTATCGACATTTACCTACTAACTTTTTCCAAGTTTTTTTCTATTTGATCTAATTCTCACATATTGAGACCGGTAACACAAAGACAACGAATATTGTAATTAATGTCATTAAAAATGATGCATTTATATATTTATATGTTTGAAATTATCCAGATGTATCAACATACCTGATGTCAAACAATAATCTGTAGCAAATGCTTTAAACTTGTCACACCCCCGAACCGGAACAGCGGAAACGTCCGGGGGCGGATGACGTCATTGTACAGTATCATAACAATTGGATATAAATGAAACATAGAGACACAAACATTCATACGTTAGTAATAGGTTTACATTGTATACAATATTTGTTCTGTTCAAAAGTTAAATACGAATAACTAAAGTAGAAGTAACGTAATGCAGGGACGCCGGAACTCGAACTTGGTGAATATCTGTCTACTAGATCCCTGAGAATACAAGTCGTTTTGAAAAGCGTCAACTAAAGAGTTGGTGAGTTCATAAGCATTTTTGTAAGAAAGCTTTGTGATATTTGTATTCATAGTAAGTCGTAAAATTTTCCAGAAATCCAATATTTTCTTTTAAAACTAGTTTGTGAGTCTCATTCCAAAATCGTGTATAATTGCATGCGTGTTTCTTAGTTTTCTTTTGTTGTTACGGAAAAGAGAGTGTTCCCATAAAATCCTATATTTTATATATATAAAAGATGTTGTGGTCCTAACACCCTAAGACCGAAGTTGTGAAATCAGTTTACAAAATATTCAAAAGATAGTTCTCTATTCTATAAAAAATAGCAGAGTGTATATTCTTTGTTTGTTTCATGAAGAATTGCATGCGTGTTTCTTAGTTTTCCTTTGTTGTTACTGAAAAGAGAGTGTTCCCAGAAAATCCTATATTTTTTGTACATAAAAGATGTTATGGTCTTAAAACCCTAAGACCGAAGTTGCAAAATCAGTTTACAAAATATTCAAAACATAGTTATATATTCTATAAAAATAACAGAGTGTATATTCTTTGTTCGTTTCATGAAAAATTGCATGCGTGTTTCTTAGTTTTCCTTGTTGTTACTGAAAAGAGAGTGTTCACAGAAAATCCTATATTTTCTGTACATAAGAGATGTTGTGGTCTTAAAACCCTAAGACCGAAGTTGTGAAATCACTTTACAAAATATTCAAAACATAGTTTTGTATTCTATAAAAATAGCAGAGTGTATATTCTTTGTTCGTTTCATGATGAATTGCATACGTGTTTCTTAGTTTTCCTTTGTTGTTACTGAAAAGAGAGTGTTCCCAGAGAATCCTATTTTTTCTGTACATAAAAGATGCTGTGGACTAAAAACCCTAAGACCGAAGTTGTGAAATCAGTTTACAAAATATACGAAACATACTTTTGTATTTTATAAAACATAAAGGGTGTATATTCCACGTAATTTCAATGTCAAAGGACCCTACTCTATGTGAGTCGTTTACAACCATACATATATGACAAGAACGCCTGCCCTTACGTTATTCAGGCGTCAGATACGGTCTAGATATTTGTCACCATAGACTGGCCGGTCTAGCTGTAGCGAACATCACAGGTGTGGGGTGTAAACCCCATATAGATCTATACACAATTATCCCGCTCCCCGTCCAGGGGACTCAGGTTATAAACATAGGACTTACAATGTACCTAGATAGGTACGTAGAAAAAAAACATAACTAGTCTCACTAGAGCCTTAATGGAATGTACGCGAGTTTTTGTCCCTTTGTCAAATATTGCAAATAATGTTTTCCTTGTGTATAGTTATGAGTGCAGCTTTATGACATGCGTTATTCTGCTTTATGATATACAGTTTATCACTTGTGTTTTCGAAAGTTTTGATGACGGCAGTTTATGACATCCAAATATTTCTGTCATAAAAACTCTGCCTTGTACATTTTCTTGATAAAATTATTTATATTGAATATTTATAAATAATCACTAATAACTTGTTAACTTGCAAAAAGTTATGAATATGACATAATGTTCCAAGTTTAAAACCCTTGAAATAGTAGCAACATAACATGATTGATTTACCAGCAACATTTATTTTTAGAAAAATAACCATGTTTTGTAGAGTGTTTCAACATACCGAAAAGTTTATGAAGATCTTTGTAAAGAAAATATTCATTTTGCTATAACTAAAATATTGTCACTAGTTCCACCAAAATTTCATATAATCCCATGAAAATTTATTATGCCCCAATGTTTGCACAAGTTTTTAGTGGTGAAAGTAGTTTCAACCATAATTTACCATTTTGTGTGACTTCTCATAATTTTTCTACTAACTTAGTTTTATGTTTAATAAAAAGCAAAGTATGTAGATCTATACAAAGATCACTTAGTCTTAACATCATAAGATTTGTAAAATATCAAGTTTATGAAGGATTATCATGAAATAATAACATTTCAACACACATACACACATAAACATACAAATACATGCAATTATCCAAGGATTTAGACAAGATTTGACTTGTATCCCCCCCCCCCCAAAAGAATGAAAACTTGAAAAGAGTGGGGTATGAAGCTCACCTTGGTTTGATTTGGTGGGTGATTTGGATAGATGTTGAGAAATGTTCAAGTCCTAACACTTGAGGAGTTTGATAGACTCTTTGAGCCTTAAAATATACTAAGAATATTAACACATAATTTTATGTGTAAATATAATGAAATAAAAAAAAAATATGGAGAATCACTAGACAAATATGAGGTACTTACATGAATCTAGGGGATGCTTTGAGGAAATAAGACTTGGAGCTTGAATATGTTTGAGAGAAATTTAGGAGTTCACAGAAGATGAATGTGGTAAATGAGAAGTAGTTCCTGTTCATAAAGGGAGGAATATGAGTGATAAGGAATGGTTTACGTTCCTTGGTAAAAGGGTGAAAGTTAATGTGAAGTTTGCTTTAAGGACTGTTGGATAATTCCTAAAGATCTGTGAGTGCATGGGAATTTGGCAACATACAACTCATAATCCGCAAACACTTAAATATCTAAGTGTTTACGCCCAATATTCCTCCTAGGGAAGTGTTCATGGTCAAGGTTTGGAATCTTTATGGATTTTACGCCCTAGATGTTGCCTAGGAAGGTGTTCATGGTCATGGTTTGAACTCTTTATGGTGTTTACGCCCTTACATCACATCATGAAGGAGTTTGCACCCAAGACACCTCCTAGGAAGGTGTTCACGGCCTAACTAAGGTTCCTTAAAGTAGTTCACGGCCAAAGGATGGCCCATTAAGGGTGTTTATGCCCTAGATTCCCTCCTAGGGTGGTCTTCACGGTTCTAAAGTGTTTTCCCCTTTGGTTCACTGTCTTGGAGGGGTCCTAGGGAAGTGTTTATGGTCTTCGTTATTAGAAAACTTAAATAGGTTGTCCTTATATTTCAAGTGTTCCAGATTGTGACATAAATACAAGTTATTGTGTCTACACCATGTGATCCTTAATCAATGCATTTGTCTAGTTTTGTCTTACTAAATTTTGTTTACTTTCAAGAGGTTAACTGGTATGTGACTTCAAAAGGGCATACTTCCATATACATGTACTTATACTCTAATGGTTTTCAAGGTTTTCATTGTAATAGTGTTGAAATTTAGACCTTGCTTGATCCAAATATTTCGGTTTGTCACAAAACTAAATTATCTCCCTTGCTTCTCAGTAGACCCTTTGGTGTTTACACTCTTATTATATAAAACCAATCACTTATTTTGTTCAGAAAAACATTAATTCTAAAGTATCACTTAATTTTTTTTTTTTAATTTTTTTTCATTTTCTTTTTCAGGGTATTGGGAATACTTGTGGTGCTTATGTTCATACCTATTGATGAGAAGAGTAAATGGGGTGTATCTGTAGCCAGGTTTTGATTTTGCATGTTCGATGTAGTATCAACAGAACCACTTACATGGAGATTGATAAAAATCTGGTTGCCTGTGAATTTTATATACGTTGGGATGTTAGTCACAAGCATGTTTAGGTATGAAATTATATCAATTTTTTTATTATCTTACAAAGTTTTGACCGATAATAATATTCAAATGAATTATAATATTGTTTACAGTTTAAGGTACATTAATGTTGACCAGAAAAACATTAATTCTAAAGTATCACTTATTTTGTAATTTATTTTCTTTTTCTTTTTCAGGGTATTGTGAATACTTGTGGTGCTTATGTTCATATTTATTGATGAGAAGAGTAAATGGGGTATATTCGTAGCCAAGTATTGATTTTGCATGTTCGATGTAGTATCAACAGAACCACTTACATGGAGATTGATAAAAATCTAGTTGCCTGTGAATTTTATATTCGTTGGGATGTTAGTTACAAGCATGTTTAGGTATGAAATTATATTAATTTTTTATTATCTTACAAAGTTCTGACTGATAATAATATTCAAATGAATTATAATATTGTTTGCAGTTTAAGGTACATTAATGTTGCCATGGTGACTGTGTTGAAGAATTTCACCAATGTGTTAACTGCATTGGTGAAATGTATTTGTTAATAAGCACCATGGCAATAGAGTCTGGGTTGCACTTTTCTTAATGGTATGTTTATTTATTACTTTGATTATTTTTACAATATTCAATTTTTATTAAAAATGATACATTTTTTTGTGTAGATAATATTAGCAATATCTGGAGGGATAACGGATTTGTCTTATAATGTTGTTGGATACGCATGACAGATTATAAATTGTTTTCTGACAGCATCATATTCTCTAAGTGCACGCTGTTGGAAAATAACTTATTAGTGTGGTCTTAGGAGTATTTTGTAACGCTAATTACATGTTAGGTACAATTATATTTTGTACCATAATGTTTTCCATAGTGACATATCAAGTCCCTAGACACTAAACTGTGTAGTATGATGGATATGACATTGTTCTATAACTTGAAGGACTAATCTTATGTGGTTTCAATTTCTTTCCACTAAGGTGTAACTGATGAATTAATACCTTATGAACGAACAATCAAATGAAGACTTAACACATTCTTCCTTTCGTTCAAACACTCTCTATAAACACCATTATGGTGAGTGCAAAAGGTAAGCGATCTATCCATCAGAAAATCAGAATGACAACATTACGGGAAGAAAGGGAATCGAACTATGGCATCATGTTCAACACCAATTGAAGTTATCACTCCTTCCAAGTAAGTGTTCATCATCGATTAGGGTTAACATAAATTGCTCTTGAATTATGCTTGTTAATCCAACATTTGGTATCAGAGCATGGTTTAAATTTTGATAAATCATGCCCCCAATAATGTTTACTGAGAATCGTTCAACATATGAACCAATGTAAAAAATGTTGTGCCCTAATTTCAAACCTAAGATGTTGTTTTCCAGAGTTATCATTGAAAATTGATTTCGATGACAACGTCGGTATAATAAACAAAGCCGAATTTATGTTTTACTTTTTGTTTTCAATTGTTTTGAATATCATTAAGAAAAAAAAAAGGTAATAGGCGGTGGTGGATTTTAGCCCCCACTTGACCGACAATCTTTTTCCCTATATTGCTTGGATGACAATGAAGGCTTCTAATTGAATTGTTAATTTTGATATTTCTTCCAAATGTTTACTGCTTATCTGCCTTCATGATAAATAAACTCCAGTAATACAATTGCCAAATTTTCACACTTCAATTTTCCTTCTAAACGTGTTGAAGATCATATGGTGAATGCTTTGCCTTAAAATTTAATTTTGATTCTCTCTTGACAATTGTTTGTCACACTCGTTTGTAAATCTCGATATTCGGATGGTCACTTGTTTTATTTTTCTTAATTTCGGATGACATATTTATTTTGATAAACAAAATCGTATTTATGTATTATTTTTTTGTTCCCATGGTTTTTATTTTTTCGAACATCATGAAAAGGGAAAGAGTGACTTAAAATAAGAAAAAAATCAAATAAATAACGGCAATGATTTTGGACTGGCCATATGTGTACGTATTCTTGCAATGATAATTCTTGCCTCCAATGGTTCGTTAACGATGAACCAAACATGTCATTAGAATATGTTCAGTTGTTAATATCCAACTATGATCATTATATTGAGGTATATTAAGGTTTCATTTTGCATGCTTCTTATCTGCCAACATATATATATATAGATATATCTATATATATATATATATATATATATATATATATATATATATATATATATATATATATATATATATCTATATATATATGGAAAAGTTCAAATATTTTTCGGATTGACCGTGTGAATCCGGATTCACGTTGTGAATTTCAAGAGTTTATTCTTTATCGAAAAAAATCTAAAAATATCTAAATTCATATATTAACATTGTGAATGTGAAAAATATTTTTCGGATTCACCATATGAATCCGGATTCACGTTGTGAATTTTCAAAGATTCACATTGTGAATTTGACGTAAAAAAAATTGAATTTTATATCATTGGAAAAAGGATAAAAAGTTATGAATTTCTGTATTTTTAGTTTTTTTTGATAAAAATAAGTTCTAAAAGTTGAAAAAAGATTGGTTCCTTGGTTAATTATGGTTCACTATTGAACCTCACCATATATATATATATATATATATATATATATATATATATATATATATATATATATATATATAATATTTTTTTTATTAATAGGATTGTAACTTTAGCTTTATTATGTTGGCAATAGTTCATTATGTTTTATTTGGATTTATGCTCGTTCATGGATTACTACATCTGAACCTAACAAAGTTTGGTGGTTAATGAAATTTCAATGGAATCCTTTTAGTTAGGGGTGGCAAATCGTGCTATCGTTTCGTGTTTTTGTCTAACACGACACGAAACGACAATGTTTTATGTAACACGAACACGACACGACACGATGTCGTGTTTTTTCTAACTAACACGAAAACGAACGAATTACAAAACGACAAACACGACACGACACGGCAAATATAACATTTACTAAAAACTAGTTTATTTAATGAATAATTTATCAAATATAACATGAAAAACACGACAAACACGATAAAGAACTACTAAATCGTGTCAATTTCGTGTCGAATTTCGAACACGAACACGACACAACACGACATCGTGTTTTTTACTGTTAACACGAACACGAATTCAAATTTTAGTTTCGTCCCAATTTCGTTTCGTTTCGTGTATTTTTGTCGTGTCGTGTCATAAATTGTCACCCTACTTTTAGTGAATTGCTTGTATGGCATGATAAATTTTGACTGTCAGAAAATATTTTCTGCCATTGCATATAATGGTATGAATATGAGCTATCTTACGACAACCTCACAATAAATAATTGGTTATCAAACACACCATTAAAAAAATAGGAATTTGATGGAATTTGTTTTCCAACTCACCGTCTCTTAAAAGCGGCAAAAGTTATTTTGCTCACTTTTAATATTTGACCATTCATCATGGTTAATGTTGGCTTACTGTAAGCTTGTACGATTAACAAATTAGCTTAATGGTTATTATGTTGTTTGATATATTTAGTGAGATTCAATTTCTAACTTCTGTTTGTTTTATGTCTCTGTTTTTCCATTGTATAAACTTGATGGTAATTGTTAAATGATGAGTGGTAACTTTAACGTTAAGCCTAAGTGATTTGACCAAAGAAAGGTTGTTTATGTTTAACATATGAGTTTATTGAACACCACAATAAGCAACTGTGTAAATTGTTACTCAAGGAACCCAAAGGTAAATTGAATAATGATATATATAGTGAATTTTAAGCATAATACGCATAAATGTGGTAATTTTGCCCAAAGGTGATTGCAATATTTATATAGCGTATAGTAAATTTTAGGACACAATATGCAATTGTTGGTCTAGCCAAAGCGAAACTAATAATTGGGTAAGGTGTCTATAAGACCTGTCATTTTAGTGTTATTGATAGGTATTATTTTGTTATCTCATAAATCATTTGAATAATCATTTTCAACATAGTAAGACTCAAGTACGTGAGAGGGGAGGTTACAGTAAGGTACGACTAACTGGTACATGTAGGAGATGACCAATGTAAGCCTCAAGTTCAACCTTGTTTTGAATAATACCATAACAAATGTAGTTATATATATTTATGATTTACGAGTCCCTTAATCTTGATGTCCTTATACCATAACAACTCCTCGGTATATGTATGCATTTCATTACAGGTATTCCCTACTATCCAAAAACAGGATAGGAAAGAAAAAGCAATGAAAGTGGGGAATGATGAAGACTTAAACATAGAAGCGGTGACCTACCTTCATTATATCTTTCTAGATAGTACTTATTGTTTAAGTCTTAGTGACACTCTTTATGTATCGAGTATAACTTGAAACTTATTATTTGTATCTAAGTTAGAGAATTTTGGCTATACTTTTATGTTTTGATACAATGATTTAACTATTGGTTTCAATTCCCATATGTTGCATATGGTTGTTTGGAGGGATACCTCTATCAATTAAAACTCAGCAGCCACTTTTTGAATCTTTACTATCATGTAATGATAATTTCCACAAACATAATTTTGAAGTGGAGAGTTCATCTATGTTGTGGTATTAAAGCTTACGCCACACATGATATAATAAGATGCTACATCTCATAAAACATGAAGTTCCACTATAACTTTGCTACTCAAGATTCAATAAAGGAGTTAAGTTGGTAAAAGGGAACAAGGAAAAATCCATGAGAAGTCCAAGATTTACTAAAAATTGATCTATACCACCGTTTGTGGACTTTCCCAGCGGACGTATGTGATCATAAATCATATATAATTTTTTTATGATTATTCTTGTTACATGTATTTGTACTTGCTAAATAAATAAATAAATAAAAATTCTGAATCTCTTAAAATGCTTAAAACCTTTCGGGAAATAGTTAAAATTTATCTTGCCCTGAAAACAAAAGTGTTGAGATCGGATATCAGTTGTGTGTAGTATGGTAAGCATATAGATGTTGGTCAATCACCTCGATCTTTCTTTCAATTTTGTATAGATGATGGGATACTTAACCAATACGCCATGACATGTACTCCTTAATAAATGATGTATCTGAGGGAGAAATAGAACCTTAATGCGCATGGTACAAAGTATGCTTGGAAACACTAACTTTCCCAAACTTTTATGGACTAAGGCATTAAAAATTATGGTCTAGATATTGAATACAGTTCCTTTAAAGTATTTTCCTAAAACTCCTTTTAAGACATAGACAGGAAGGAAATCAAGCCTAAGTCCTAGACAAAACTCTAGAATCTTCAGTTGTAGAAACTCAACATGAAAATTGTAAGTTGTTTCTATATCATGTACAACTTTAAATTTTAACAATTTTATGTTAGATCACATAGTACATGGATTCTAGATATGAAGCATGCCTCTTTTCTAGAGAATGTCAAAATCAGTGGGAGTGGTTCATTGAGGGATTTTGACCTCCAAGAATCATCAACTATAATTCAAGTGCCAATTATGATTAGCACTTCATTAGAAGATTCAAGTTTTTTTCTTATGAACAAGAATCCTCAACCGCAAAGGCAAATGAAATACTACAAAATGATCCCACTTAATACATTGACATTAAATCCATGAAACAAAGTAGTCTATAAGACATTTTCTTTGATGTAGCTGGCCCACAAATTTTCATGATTAGGGTTTAAACTCAAGGAATCATTATATATGCTAAAACTAGCTTCGTGTCAAATTATAGCTAAG